TCTTAGGAGGAGGGGTCTGGTTAGAAGAGGCAGGTCACTGTGGGTATGACTTAGAGAGGTCTATCCGGCTTGCTCGCCCTTCACTTGAGCTCTCTCTGCTTTTCTGGATGCATGAGCGGCTTTCCTCTGCCCAGGCCCTTCTACAGGCCATTCTTTCTTGGAGCCAGCTGGCTGACTATGAACTGAAACTTCTATAAACTGTGAGCCAAAACAAATCTCTCCTCTTTAAAGTTGTGGGTGTTGGGTATTTTGTCTCAGCAACAAGGAAAAAAGCTAAGACAACGCAAAAGGAGTAACTCATTTCAGCTGATACATGCTCCTTTTGTGCACAGGGAAAGAGCAATGGTTCTTAAAGCTCTGGCTGGAGTGTACTCATAACTTCCACTCATGTCACAGCAGCCGTAGGCTGGGAAGTCAGACCTCCCACAGGAGGGCCGGCATAGTATTGAGAAGGATAATATAACCTGTCACAATATTTCTAGCAATGCCTTTCCTATTTATCCAATATTAGTTTAGCTAATCTAGTACAGAACATCTTTTATTATTCTTTTACTTCAAATTTTCTTTGTGTTTTAAACAGTGTATAGCTTGATTTAAAGAAAAAAAAATCTTAGCCAGGCATAGTGGTGCATGCTTGTAATCCCAGCACTTGGGAGGCTGAGGCAGGAAGACCACCGTGAGTTAGAGGCCAGTTTGGGCTTCATAAGTGAGTTCAAGGCCAACTTGCACTATATAGCAAGACTGTCTCAAAAAATAAAAAACAAAACAAAAATCTTGTGTTATACCCAGCATGGTGGAACATACCTATAAGCCCAGAACTCTGGAAGGCTATGGCAGGAGGACTGCAAATTTGAGCCCAACCTGGACAGTGTAGCAAGACCCTGTCTCAAAATAAAAAAACAAAAGGAGGCTGGGGATATAGCTCAGTGCAAAGGCCTAGGTTCAATCCCCAATAGCAGAAGAAAAAAAAACAACTGGTATTACAATCTGTCTTTTAATTAGAAGGTTTAGGGTTTTAAAAACCTACTTATTGTGCTTATGAGTACTGATACACTTGGATTTATTTTTCCCCTTTTCTGTACTTTGTCTTTTTTCCACTTTTTGTTTTCTATTTCTGTAATTACTGTATATTCTTCCTTCTTTTCTGCCCTTTTAAAAAAATTGTGCAATTTTTCTTGTTCTTCTTGCTTGGCCTAGAATTCTGTTCTTCAATGTAACTCTCAAAATTTCAGCCCTCATATTTATTGTTTGTTTGTTTGTTTGTTTATTTTAAAGATAAAAGGAGGGAAACATTAACAGACATACAACATTTTACAACATATCACAAGCACAGTACAGACAATACAGAGTTACAAACAAAGTGCAGCCCTCATATTTAAATAAGTCTAAACTTTTACAGGCAATAGAAGGATTTTGGATTGTTCAAATGTCTACAACTTCAATTCTTTCCCTCTCCTTTATAGGTAAACCTTTTGTTGTAAACCTTCATAGCTCTATCCTACTATAACTTTGCACACACCCGTGTGATTTGGTCTGGTCAATGACATGTAAGAAGAGTCCAAAAATGTGCTTGTGCGTTTATTTATTCTGTTTTGCCTCTCTGCCAATGCCTTATGGACTTGGCCAGGGAACTCAGCTGGTGACTAAGCAACACATGGAGCAGTCGAGACTCCCAGAAAAGTCGGTCCTAGATCAGCTGACCCTAGACGCATAAGCAAGCTTAACTAAGCGCAGGACAGCTTCCTAACCTACTCTCCGCAGGCTTCAGATGTGTGAGCAATAAACAAATGCAGCTGTTTGTCTTTGAGGTTTTATGGCTATTTGCTTTGCAATAGATTACTGACACATTTTTATAATGCTTTACCTTAGTAATCCTTTTATACTTTATATTCTGTTGTTCCATTATTTTGGTTTTCCTTTTTTTAATCCTACAAATGATAAACTATTGTCATTTTTTTGCCTTTGATATTTATTTACATTTATTTATATTTGCCATTATATTTTCTCACCAATCTCATTTTTCCTCAGAACTTTCTCCTGGGATAATTTTTTTCCTTCCTGAAATATATCTCCTTCTTCTTTTTTTGTGTTCTTAGTGTGTTGCCCAGGCTGGTCTGGAACTTGTAAACTCAAGTAGTTCTTTTGCCTCAATTGCCAAATAGCTGGGATTACTGACATGTGAGATCATATCAAGCTTCTGAAATACACCTTTTAGAAAATGATTCAGTTAACTTCTGTTGGTAATAACTCTTATTTTTTGTTGATCTGAAAAATATTTTCATTCTTGAAAGATTATTTTTCTAAGTATATAATTCTAGACAGATTTTTCCCTTATCACATGAATGCTATTATTTCAAGTTATCATTATTATCAGTGCTCCTAAACTGCTATTCAAAGTCAAATGCTAGTATTATATTAATTCCATTATAATCTGATTTTCCTCTCCATCTCTTGTTCTTTGGTGTTTGTTTTCCTTATTCTGCTTAGGAAGCATTGTGCATCCTGAGGGCTTTTCATCTTTCATCAATTCTAGGAAATTCTCAACCATCATTATTTGACACTTGCTATGTTCACATTCACTTTCCTATCTCCTACTATGACAGATAAACGTATGATGGACCATACTCTTTTCTCTAGGATGGACCATCTTCTTTTCTGTAGGATGCCTTTTTTCCTTCAGGTCTATCTTCTAGTTCACTAATCTCTCTTTGACTATATTTAGTTTAACCATTCCAATGAATTATACATTTAAATTATTTAAACTATTATAATAAACATGTCTATAACCCTTATGTCATTCCTTCTCACATTTGCCTGGTAATTTTTAAAACTATCTTGATCCTCACTTTTAATTTTAGTTCTTTTCATGTTCTGATTCTAAAATATCAACATCCAACATAATTTTGGATTTGCATCTGCTGACTGTCTTTTTTGCTTGTTTCCTCAAGGGTTTTGTGGCTTCTGATTGCGAGTGCATATTCATTTGGAACTTAACTATGGGAATTCTTTGAGACTTAGGTTGACAGTGAGTGCTTCCAGAGAAGATTTGTGTTTGCTTTGGCCAAGTACCACAATCACTACCTAGTCGGGTCCATTTTAAACTAAAATGTTGTTCGTGGGATTTTGAACCGTGCAAATTTATGGCCAGGTGAAAGCCAGTCCATGACCATAAATCCTCTGGAACAATGTTTCCCCACTTCCATTTAGAGTCAAAGTAAAGAGAGACAACTTTCCTTGCTGCCCATCTCTGCATGACAGATTTTTATGCCCTAGTTTATCCTTCCCCTGAGGGTATATTCCTTCTTAAGTTCTAACCAGATGTTGCAACTTGGCTCTTATCCTGCCTGGACCCAGGTAAATGCCCCTGTAACTGGTAGCAGCATGACTGTTTATCTGTCTTCAGAGATTTCCAAAATATTTGTCAGTTATGGAACATGCATCAACCAATCAGAACAGGTACAGACAGTACCTGTGTGTAACTTCTGACATTTGACTCTGCTAACTTCCTAGTTAATGTTCCTGCATTTTTCCTCTCTTCAGATGATTTTCTTGACTTTCTTCAGAGTATGTCTTCTAGCAACCTTTTATATTTTGTTGTTGTAATATCTGGAGACACACAGTCCACAATATTAATAGAAATAAGTCTACATAAGACGTTTATTTGGCTCATGAGAAGCATCTGATAATAAGTAGTCCAAACTGGAAATATAACTTAATATCATGAGTCCTAGACTCAATCTTTTTGCTTTACCCGCACTAGTATTTACATGTCACTGCATGGGCACATGATACGGGCTGAACTTGCAAAATTCAGGTCTGCTTAGAGGCAAGAAGAAAGTTAAAGAGCAGTTAACTAGAAATCCTCATGGACTGTGTAAAAAATACTTTTCCACAATTCCCACTCAATGACTTCTACTTAATACAGTATTAGCAAGAAAGTGGTCATATGACCATGCCTAGCCCAATTATTAGTTAAGGAAAACGAGATTATCAAAATGATTTGGGTCACTTATGAGCCATCCATTGCAGCGGAAGTGAAAGTCTACTTCCCATGAGATCAAGAGATTTCCCTACTACCTGAACAAAACAAAGGTTGTTTTGGGGTGTGAGTATGCGTGTGTGTGTGCCTTAGGGGACCCCACAAGCAAGGGGGATTACTACAATATCCTACCTGTGGTAATTCTTGGGTAAAAAAGGGGACTGGAGCGCAGATTCTTGATTCAGAATCTTTTTGGACAAGCTACTCCGCATCACGATTTCTATGCTTCAATATTTCATTTCTTCCCTTTGGTCTTGTTTCCCAGAATGTCTTTGTCGAATTCTCTCAAAAAACCCAGCCTCTTCTCTGAACACTCCTAGGTTCTAGAGGCCAAGAAGAAGCAAGGGGGTACCAGCTGGGAAACTGAGCACTTTGAACTAAGACAGTCAAAATCGAACAGTGTATCCGACCCAACAAGGGCATCCACCCTAAATCCAGAAGCAATTTTGACCAAACCCCTGTAGCTGCCTGGAGGTGAAGTTAGGAAGAATTCACGCCTGCACAGAGGGGCTTAAACAGGCCCAGAGGTCTGAGGCGCGCTAAGGAGCGTTGTTGGGAGCGGCAGAACTGGAGGCGAGAGGCAGTGGTCCTGTCCCACTACTTTGCGACCCGGAGTCCCGCACAAAGACAGCCACGTAAAGCGCACTGATCTTTCCACTGAACATTTACTGAGTATCCACACTTGGCAACTGTGGGCTAGGCGCTGCGGAGGCAGTCAAGGATTTTGAATACTATTCTCTAGACCAGCTGATATATGTCAAGGCCTTAAAAGGGTTTAGAATTCGGTCACTGCCTCTTCAACCTCCATGAATACGCTAAGCCACTAAACCTGACTGACCTGCTCCGGACAGTTCCGCACAGGCGCCGGACACCTCCACGCGCTACCCCCGAAGCTCCACCCCAAACGGCTTTCCGCATGCGCACACCGCTTCCCCGCGGACGCACCCCCGGAAGCACTGGCGGTTTCGGGGGCGGGACCGCGAAGCGTTTCCGGGGGCGGGAGGCGTAAGCTGAAGCTGTCGCTGCCGCGACGGTTTAAGGAGGCCTGGCGCCGGCGGCGAAGAGGGTGCCTCGGGCGGGGTATGTGAGCTCGGAGCCCTTGGCAGGTACGGCGGGGTCCGGACAAAGGCCGGCAGGGCTGGGAGGAGGAAAAGCCGGGGGGGCGGTGAAGGACTTCTCTGTAGGCCTGCGCGCGCGGGCCGCCGTCCCCACCGGGCCTATCCGGTCGACCGGGATGCGGAGGTGCGCGGGGCCGGGTGCCCCTCGGCCGGGTGCCCTGAGTTCGACCCCTGCGATCTCTAGTCCGGCCGGAGAGCCGAGTGCGACACTAAGACCCCCACCCCCACCCCGCAGCCTCTCGCCAAGGTCACCCCGCGGCCGCGGAACTCGGCGGGCCCCACGCTTAGAGATCCCGCCCCCGGCCGGCCGTTGGCCTTTTGGGGGCGCCAGGCGGGTGCCGCCCGGACTCGAGGTCTGGCGAGCCAAGGCCAGGAGAAAGGCTGCTCCTGGACCTCGCTAGGCTCTGTTTCTCTCTCTGTGTCGCCTGTGTTGCTGTCTCTATCACTTGTCACCTGTCCTTCCCCCCCCCCCCAACTCACGGTCAGCCTGGTATTTCCACTTTGCCTCTCTTGAGCTCTTTCTGTCTGGAGTTTATTTGGACCTTGTTTTTTATTGTTTTCTCTGCCTTCTGTGTCTCTTGACCCTGTCTCTGTCTGTCACTCAGTCCTTCCTCGCCCTCAGCCTGAATGTGATACCAGCTTCTTTTTTGGTGGTGGTGGGACTGTGGGTCTGTTTCTCGCTTTCTACCAACTTCGTCTTTCTCTTGCTGCTGTCTCTCCTAACTGGCGTTGTGTAGGCGAGGCAGGACAAGTCTGCCTTGTCCCTGCAGGACAAGACCTCTGAGCCATAGAAGGTGACTCATGACCCGGTGTAACTCCCCGCCGCCCTGCACGGGTGCCATTCTCCGTGACCGCAGTCCAGCCTCAACTCTGACAGGTGTCACCTGACTTAACCAAGTTAGGGGTGCAGGACTGGCGGGCAGACAAGGGGCCCATCGCGTGGCCGAAGCAGGTTGATGATTCTTCACTTTTCTTGCCTGTGGTTTTTTAGGCCTGCACAGCTCTCCACATCCCTTTGCTTCATCCACTTACCCGTTTATGGCCTCCAAGGCTCTCAGGAGCCTCTCTGAGTTACAGCTGCTTAACCAGGCTGTCTGCAGGCTGAGGAAGGGTCAGGCCGAGAGACTGGCCTTTGTGGCTCTGTGGAACAGTAGCAGAATTTCTGGAAGAGTTGCATGCTTGGCTCAGAGATTGTGTCACTGTCTTCATTTAAACTATGAGAAACTGCCGTGTGTGGTGGCTCACGCCTGTAATCGCAGCACTCGTGTGACTGAGGCGGGAGGAACGTTTGGAGTTCCGGGCCAGCCTGGGCTACAAAGTGAGATCAAGGTCAGCCTGAACTGCATAACAGACCCTGTCTCAAAAAGACTAAATAAACAAATAAACAGTGAGAAACCTAATCATTTTGTCCCTGCTTTACCGAAATACTTCTGGAGAAATAAATCAGACGTGATCATAAATACTGTTTGAGACCTCAGAAACAAAGTACGGAGAACAGACAGAATTGTAGGGACAGGAAGTAGAACAGTTTACTATGGACTAGGGGAGGGTAGGAGTATTGTTCAGTGGATACAGTTTTAGCGGTGATGAAAAAGTTCTAGGAATGGATTGTGGTGATGGTTGCACAACATTGTTCACTTATTGCCGCTGGATTGTGCACTTAAAAACAGTAAGTTTCATGTTAGGTATTTATTGGAGACTCCTGGAAGCAGTAAGCTCTTTTCAAATGGGATTTTAAAATGAGGCTGTTAGGAAAATTTAATCAAATCTATGTTTATTGATGCTTTTCACAGCAGTAGATACAGCTGAGGGTTTTAGAAAAGGCTTTTGGTGGAATGAACTTGATTAAAATCTTCCTCAAGATTATTGCTTACAGCACATTCCTGTCCTAGCTCTCCTTTCTCCACCTTTGGAACCAGCACAAAAATCTACTTAAGGAGGAAACTTGAGAAAGGTTTTACTTTTCACATAAAACTTCTAAGATTAGAAAAATAGCCCTTTTATTATCATAATACAAAAATTATGTGTTGTTTCTTATGGGAGAATACATTTGTTTTTGTTCTCTTCTTTACACCTTCAGTTTGCCTGGAAGGTAGTTTTTATCAAGCTTTCTTTTGAGTTTTTGCGACAGGGTCCTGCTGTGTAGTTCAGACTGGCCTTCAACTCACTTTGTATGTAGCCCACAGTCGCCTCAGATTTGCAGTGATTCTCCTGCCTCAGCCTCCTGAGTGCTGGAATTACAGGCATGTGCCACCATGTCCATCTTATCAAGCTTCCTAATAAGGTCTAACAGCTGAATTATTGTATATATTTCATCAAATCTTAGATGCTGCCAGTTATTTTATGTATCACCACAAAGAGGAAAACACTGTCAAGCAACAGTGCTTTCTTATTACTGGTATTTTATTCTTACTGAAAACACTTTGACTTACTTGGACTTTTAAAAACATAATATCAATGCATATTCTAATGCATGTATAAAACATAAAAATAAAGTGCTCATTGAACTTTGTAACATTCCAGGCCCTGCTATACTGAGTACTTTTCAATTCACAGTTCTGTCCATGTTTTTTCTACATAATATCATCCTTTGTGCTATCAGAAACATTGATAAGCTTCACAGGAGTGCTGCAGCCTTGTGTTAAGTGATGACAACTATTAAAACTGCCATCTGGTGATCAAGTCATAGTTTCAGAAAATGTTTTTGAGACAGGGTCTCACTATGTAGTCCAGGCTGGCCTGAAACCCACTGCAGAGCCTGCAGCCCAGGATGGCCTCCAACTAAAGGTGATCCTCCTGTTTCAGCCTCCTGAGCTCTGGGATTACAGGTTCTATTGAGGGTCTTATCTTGTGTTCTCATACATTTGAAAGATGTGGTTAAAAAGTTCTCCTTTGCTTATTGAAGCGAGTGAGAGGATGACTGATAAGTGAAGGTTTAATGCCCAGAACAGTATCTTTTCGTCTAAATCTGAGAGTTTACTTCAATGGAAGCTTTGAAGTTTTAAGTAAATCTGTGGTTTAAAATTAAAGAGAGTTTGGTATCTTAACTGCACAAAGTAGGTGGCTTGCTTTCTTAAAATCTTAAATTTTCTAAGTCTTTCACTAAAGTGTTCCATTTAGGAAAAGATATGAAAGTACAGATTGACAATTGTCAGGGACCCAAGTGCACTTTTCCAAAGAATATTTATTTATTCATTCAGTCAGTTGTTTTGGTGTTGGATATCAAACCCATGGCCTTCCTTGTTCATGCAGGCATGTACTGTAAACTGAGCTACACCTCTGGCCCCCAAAGGGTATTTTAATTCTGCAAGATTACATAGGCACTGACCAGGTTGGTATCTTTTAATAAATGTGCTATAATAACATAAGGTGTAGGAAATTGGGTGAGGGCCATAAGGGAACTGTGAACTTTGTAATTCTTCCATTAATACACAATCATTACAAAACAAAAGTTTATTTAAAAAATACAAAAGAGCTTGGCACAGTGGTATTTGCCTATAGTCCATACTTGAGGGACTGAGGCTGGAGGATCACTTGAGCCCAGTAGTTAGAAACCAATGTGGGCAACGTGAGACTCCATCTCAAAAAAAAAGTATATATTCAAGTAAAATTAAATTTAAGCTGGGCATGCTGGCACACACCTATAATTTCAGCACTTAGGAGGTTGAGGCAGGAGGATCACTGCAAGTTAGAGGCCAGCCTGAATTACACAGGGAGACCCTGTCTCCTAAACAGACAAACAGAAAGTTTAATTTTAAAATACAAAGACTTAAACTGAGAAGTTCCAGGATGAAAGTTACAGAACCAGAAACACCAGGTGTGATTATTTTCTTTCTGTTGCTCACATACAGAGTTTTTATATTAGGGAGGCATATGTACACAGTGAGTAGCAGCAGCATCTTTTATATTTGCAACATGATTTTTCCTTTCAGAAGTCAGTGTGATTTAATTTGAAGCAAAACAGAAAAACAGAAATGGACCCCATTTTCTCAATCATTCGTAATACTTTTTGATGACTATGCATAAGTAAGTTTATTCCAAGAATACGACTTTGCTTTAGGTAAGCTGTAAGTGTGCTATTAATACAGTTTTTTGGTTTTTGTTTTTTTTTTAATTAATACAGTTTTTAAAATTTACATTAATCATCCTTTTCAGCAAAAATAATAATGTAGTTACGGTTTTTAGTGGCTCTAAACAAGATGTTGATTCTTTAAAGAGGAGATACTGCATATTTTATTTATTTTTTATTATTAATTAATTATTTATTCATTCATTTATTTTTTGTCTTTTTGAGACAGGGTCTCACTATGCAGTTCAGTCTGGCTTTGAGCCCACTTTGTAGTCCAGGCTAGTCTCTAACTCAGCAACAGTCCTCTTGCCTCAGCCTCCCGAATGGTGAGATTACAGGCATGTGCCACCACGCCCAGCGATACTGCATATTTTAAAGTCAAATACTGCCATACTTTGCACTGAGAGCAGTTCAGAGAATTTTTCTGCTAAATGATTTTTTCTTAGAAAAGTATATGATTTGGAGTTACATTTGTATTTAAACTTTGATATACCACTTATAAGACGTGTAGCTTTGGGCAGGTCTTTTAATCTGATCTTCAGTTTACTTCTCTTTAAACTGAGTATGATAATAACAGAAGTGTTGCAAGGCCCAAGTCTACATGGTGTACTTTGTGGACTGTAAAGCATTTGACTAATGTAAAGAATTCTGGTAGGCATGGAATGCTGGTATTTTTGTACGTTTGTGCCAGACTTTAAATTTACGAAAGCAACATTTACTGTGTTTAAATGTGCTTTATACAGCAAGCATGCAAATTACCATATGCTCTCATTAAAGAAATCTCTTAAAAGCTTCAAGACAAATAGCTGGTGGGTCTGCTTCCTTGTTATATTGCTGTCTTCTGTGCTTTTAGAATATTTAGTCCTTGTTTAAATAGTATATAAACCTTGGTACTCATTTCCTCAACTGAATAATAAGT